CCGCCCCCCCCCCCCTCCTCTCCTTTACATGAACCAATAAAAATAAGCCATCATTACAAAGGTTGATATATTTAATTGTTTTGTTTCTTAACGGGACTATAAGTTTAGTTTTCAGTATCCTTTTTTTCATCTGTAATGTATACAAGGGAATATTTTCATTTTTTTACCTGAAATTGATTTTTTTTCAAATTGTGGGTTCTCCATTAAAGTCGGGACAAAGGGTATAGTTGTGAATTGGATACACCACTAGGGGGTCACGTGAAATTAATTTCGTATGCAGGAAATGTCTCAGAAAATTTAGAATTAATAATAAACTCTGGGTAAGTGCAACGCCCTCCGGGTTATCATTGTTTTTGTTTTAAAGAGCTGATTTAACATGTATACCCTTCATAAAAACATTTTCAGATTAGCGGGATTATTTTAATTGTTGCATAACAAAAAAATGCCTTTTTTTAAAGGAATTATATATTTGTTTAGGGACAGAAAACCAGATTGCCGTGACTCCAACACTGATGTTGACCTCTCATGAGGCCTTAAACAGGTTTGGTGTCTGTTTGTTTCTTTCATTCTTTTTTCTCTCTTTCTTTATTGATTTGCTTCATTCATTATTTGTTTGCGTTAAAGCCGGGTTGTTGTTCTGTGTGATTTGTAATTTTATGCTTTACAGAAATCAGATAGTTATCACATTTATGCAATCTTTTCTGAAATTATTCATTATTTTTCTAAAAACTATTTTTCTACTATTTTTATGATTACCAAGTTTCAACGAAAAATATCGATTAATATTTATTTACAACATATAACTCTTATTTCGCGAAATTGCAAAATTATAAACAATCTCATAAAATCAATTTGATTGATTCAACAAAGATTGGAAAAAGGCGCAACAGCAGAGGAAGTTTTTTTCTGTGTTGTTTTAAACAAAGAAAGATCGGCCACAGTTAAAGTATGATTTATATCAGCAAAAAAACACATCATGTCAAACTTAAGTAGATTTCACGGAAGATTGTAAAGATTTATCAAACTCTGATTTTCCCTATATCTTTGCAACCCAATGTAGTAGACCTTAGATATTTCAAACTATGACATCTGTCATGGATCAAATAATTCAAGTTTTAAATATAAAATGATGTACAGATTGGATATAGGGAAAAAGAAATTTAGTTCGAGGCTAAGACACAATTCCTTTAATAGGGTTTCAATCACAACCCCTTTAATTTCTTTTAACAATTTATTTTTAAATTCAAATTATTTTTTAACAAAATTTAAAAAGAGCGGTGATTTTGTTTTCTCCTAACGCTGTATCTTCTTTTTATCCGATCATACATATGTTTTCTTGCCAAGATTTAATTTCACAACAAATTTAATATTTTATTTTTAAGAAAAATTTTATAATTTAATATATAAAAAGAAAGTGCTCGTTAATAAACTTTAACTTTTAACTATAGAAATAGGGCAGCATGGTATATTTGTCCATTGAGGTTCCGAGGGAGAGGTTTTATTTCAATTATATTTGTAATATTATCCTCTACAGATATACAATCTTTATAATTTATATCTAACATTTAGATCACAACCTTTCTCAAACATCAAATATTCATTCTAACAAAATCTGATTTTAGGATAAACTTAATCTTATATAATTATCTCTAACGTGGTATTCTTTAAGAAAATATTAAAGGAACTGTAGAGTGAAGACACGTATTTTAAACTGACCCTTTATTTAAAAATTCCAATTCACAACGGTACCCTTTAAAAGAGATTAATTCTCATAATTTGATTTGAAATAATTATGATTGAGTTAAAACTAAATAATTATTTTTCATTCATCCCGAATCATGCAGACAAAGGTTTAAAGTTAGGGGACCCGTGTGATTTAGTTTGCAGGCCATTTAAGGGAACTGATGTGAGTTGGACATGCTAGATACTGATGTGAGTCGGACATGCTAGATACTGATGTGAGTCGGACATGCTAGATACTGATGTGAGTCGGACATGCTAGATACTGATGCAAGTGTCGGACATGCTTGATTATAAAAAGAGGATTACCGTAAATTACGTACAGAGTCCATTTCAGTTTCTATCAGACATCAAATTATCATATAATAACCAAACTAGATGTTTTTTGTAAATCCTTGAATCCTAAAAATGAAAAATAAGGGAATTATTTTTTTTGAGTAAATAAGTGTTAGTTAGCAGAAACCTGTCAATTAAAGAATATTTTTTTTCTAGATTTCCAACCAAAATACTCATTATTTATTAAGGAAAATATCTTTAAATTGAAAATTTTCAAGAAATAAATTCAGATTCTCTAATTTCTTTATCTTTATAACACAAGGTCGAAGACCTTACATAGATATTTCAAACTATGAATTCTGTTAGGTCAAATAATCTAATTCTGAAATATTAAAGGTTTACATCATCAGATTGTTTCTCTGTATCTACAATAAAACAACTTTCTATTACAACTATTGTAATAACGATTGAGGTCGTTAGTACAGCAGATGAAATTTGGTCGTTTTGGCAAACCACTTTATTTCAGCGCACTCTGTATTAACCCTGAACATTAATGTACCTTGAAGAATGCAAAATATTCCATATTATTCTGAGATGAAGTGTTTTCAGACTTAATCACATTTTTCGTTCACATTCATAAACCTTGAGTCTTTAAGTTGGAGTTTACATCGCAAAAATATTACTTATTCTATGTACTGCATATGCATAGTTTCAGTAGAAAGAAATATTTCCATTTACTGATAGCGCCGATTGAAGGATTCATAACTCTGATTGGATAATAAGATAGATAGAAAGATAGATGTTATACCGCCAAACTATTTCTATTGGTTCAATATAGACAACAAACACATGACTAAACCCTGATTGGATCAGGCGCTAAAGGACTCGGCATACAGGAGTGGCATGTGAATCCTTGTATTTGTGATTGATCTCTATCTTTCGATAACGGAGAAAGGGTAGACGACGGATTACATCCCTTGTTCGATAATCTATAAAATAGATGTCATTAGCAGAACACAAACAACCAATCAGATCCAAGGATATTTTGCGTTCAACTAATGAGATAAGAAAACGAGCAAATACTCTATAAAATTCAAAAGTTCACACTGTTGATATCAAAATTAAGTGATCGGGATCATGGGTATCTAACATAAAAGTTCCCATGCTCTGGATGCTTCTAGAAAATATTGCTGATGTATAGAACAGAATAAAACAGCTTCGTAAGGTTTCATTTTGGATTTTAAAGGATTTTTGATATGTTTAGAAAAGAAAGAAGAGGAAGTAATACACTGACACCCTAATGTATATATTAAATATATATTTATATAATCTTGAAAGGATTTGCTAATTTCTATACCTGTGCAATCCTATGCCGAAGACTTTTTTATATTTCAAACGATAAGTTCTATTAGATCAAAAAATCTAAGTTTGAAAAAACAAAGATTTACACCAACAAGCAACAAAGATATAGGGATTAGAACATTAAAGTTTGTGGCAAAGACTGGATTTCTTTATTTAGGTTTAGTGCCGAGCAGCGGGATTGTTACACGGAGAAGGAGATTTCATTAAGGTTTCTACCTCATGATCATGGATATAGGTAAACCTTAATCCGACCGGATACAAATACGGACAGGGGGGGGGGTAGTTTATATAATTTCATTTTTCTGTAACGTATAAAGGGACTGTAAGCGTAATTTCAAGTGATCCTTCATACAAAGATGACAATGCCCGATTCACAACAGTGCGTAATCTGTATCATGAATTCCACCTTGCATTTCTTGAACCTTATTAACTGTACTGCTAGCTATAAAATTAAAGCTAATATATATATGTAAAAAAGTGCTTTTTTCGTACACAATAACTCTTGTAATAATTGCATGTAAATTTTGTGAACCCAAATATCTTTACGAAAATAAAAAATATTTCGATTTAAAAAAACTTTAAACCTAGAAAAACTACAATATCTTCCCATTCAGTTTAAGTTTTTATAATCCCTATATCTTTGCAACCCAAAATCGTAGATTTTTGATATTTCAAACTATGAATTCTATTAGGTCGAAAATTTTGAAATATCAAAGGTTAACGCCGTTAGGTTGCAAATATATAGAAATGTACAAAGTTGAGTAGGTGGCAAAAACTTCTTATTTATATGTTTGTTTATCCTGCAATCTTTTAGCCTTGCCTTGTGTTGAAAAATGAGTTGTACTGTATTAGATATGAAATGAGTAACTGCCTATTCGAAGCTGCATTCGAGAATATTCTGGAGAAATGTAAATGTGCACCAGGTATCTTTATATATCTCTCTCTCTATCTATCTATCTATCTATCTATCTATCTATATATCTATCTATCTTTCTATCTATCTATCTATCTATCTATATATCTATCTATGTATCTATCAATATAATATTTATCTATCTAGCTCTATAACTATCCATCTGTATTTTTATGCACATATTTTTTTATTAAACCTTAAACTATTTTTTGTTAAATACTATTACTATTAAAGAAATTTAGCTTTCCCACAAACTCAAACCCATATCCTTGCAACGTGATGGTGTTAACCTTCAATATTTCCAGCTTCGAATATTTTATCTGACATAATTCAAGTTTGAAATATCAAAGGTCTATGACATTGAACTCAAGTTCGTCAGATTCTGAAGGATTGTACAGGCTTCTTAAGACTACTGATTAAATTTGTAGATACAACATATCCATGTTTGAACAGATGGTCGTTAATCTTTATTTTGTATTTTTTAAACCGATGTTTGCTGATATCTAGTATTGAATGATAATATTGATATAATGAAAGAAGAAAGAAGCTTGTATATTTCTCTCCACTAAGAGGACAGTATGACCCTGTAGTGTTGAAAGCATTTTTATGTTTGATTTTACTCATATAGAAGGAAAACCATAGGGGACCTTACTTATTCCAAGGGTTATCTTTTTTTTATTCATTAGGATCCATATATTTATCTGCAGAAGGCTCCATATTTATCCACTAGGATCCTAATTTATCCACTAGGTTCAATATTTATTCACTGGAACCATGTGTATCGACTTGGATCCAAATTTATCCACTTGGCTCCATATTTAGTCACTAGGCTCCATATTTATCCCATGGGCTACATATTTATTCACCAGGCTCGATATTTATCCACTAGGCTTCATTTTTATCCACAAGGATCCATATTTATCCAGTAGGCTCCATATTTATCCAGTAGGCTCCAAATTTTTCCACTAATGCTATTTTTATCCGTAAGACTCCATATATTTATCCGTAAGACTCCATATATTTATCCACTGGCTCCATATTTATCCACTAGGCTCCATATTTATCCCATGGGCTACATATGTATTTACAAGGCTCGATATTTATCCACTAGGATCCATATTTATCCACTAGACTCCATATTTATCCACCAGACTTCATATGTATCCACTAGGCTTCATTTTTATCCACTAAACTCCATATTTATCCATTAGGCTTTATTTTTATCCACTAAACTCCATATTTATCCACTAGACTCCATATATATCCACTAGACTCCATATTTATCCACTAGACTCCATATTTATTCACTAGACTCCATATTTATCCACTAGGATCCATATTTATCCTCTAAGCTTTATATTTATCCACTAGACTTTATATTTATCCACTAGGCTCCATATTTATCCACTAGACTCCATATTTATCCACTAGACTCCATATTCATCCGCTAGGATCCATATTTATCCACTAAGCTTTATATTTATCCACTAGACTCCATATTTACCCACTAGACTCCATATTTATTGGCTAGACTCCATATTTATCCAATAGGCTCCATATTTATCCAATAGACTCCATATTTATCCAATAGACTCCATATTTATCCACTAGTGTCCATATTTGTCTACTAGGCTCCATGTTTATTCACTAGGCTCCATATTTATCCAGTCGGCTCCATATTTATCCAGCAGGCTCCATATTTTTCCAGTAGGCTCCATATTTATCCAGTAGGCTCCATATTTATCCAGTAGGCTCCATATTTATCAACTAGGTTCCATATTTATTCACTAGGATTAATATTTATCCACTAGGCTCCATATTCAAACACAAGATCTTTCAAAAAGAAAATTTTTAGCAGAATTTTCTTTAATTTGTTGTCAATTTATCAATACTAGTATTCCTATTCAGCAAAAGTGTTTTCTACCAAATAATTTCTATTCTACGAGTTGAGTGCTAATTTAGATTCTGTTTTGAATATCTAAAATAAATAATATTTCATAGGTTTTCATACAATTGGTGGAGAAGCCGCGATGGAAGAGTACGATATCTGTATGGGAGCAAACCTCACTTGTATGAATGATCATCTAAATAGAATGGGTAAGTTTAATAGTACACGTCATTTCAAGTAATCCTCTCTCTAAAGAGGGGCAATTCCGATTCACGGTACTCGGTTTGTCTAATCAAGTAGGAATCAGATATCTATATATATAGCTAGCTAAGGTGCTCAGCGTAGCCCGTGGATGTTTTTAAAAATTAAAATGGTTTCCTATGTTACCCCTAGGTTACCTGCAATAACCATGGGTTTCCGTAAAAAAAGTCAGCCAATTTGGTCCAGTCGTTTGGCCAGCTGTAGCTATTATTATATATATACATATATAATAATAATCAATTTATTATTTGCCAAGATTTAATTTCACAACAAATTTAATATTTTATTTTTAAGAAAAATTTTATAATTTAATATATAAAAAGAAAGTGCTCGTTAATAAACTTTAACTTTTAACTATAGAAATAGGGCAGCATGGTATATTTGTCCATTGAGGTTCCGAGGGAGAGGTTTTATTTCAATTATATTTGTAATATTATCCTCTACAGATATACAATCTTTATAATTTATATCTAACATTTAGATCACAACCTTTCTCAAACATCAAATATTCATTCTAACAAAATCTGATTTTAGGATAAACTTAATCTTATATAATTATCTCTAACGTGGTATTCTTTAAGAAAATATTAAAGGAACTGTAGAGTGAAGACACGTATTTTAAACTGACCCTTTATTTAAAAATTCCAATTCACAACGGTACCCTTTAAAAGAGATTAATTCTCATAATTTGATTTGAAATAATTATGATTGAGTTAAAACTAAATAATTATTTTTCATTCATCCCGAATCATGCAGACAAAGGTTTAAAGTTAGGGGACCCGTGTGATTTAGTTTGCAGGCCATTTAAGGGAACTGATGTGAGTTGGACATGCTAGATACTGATGTGAGTCGGACATGCTAGATACTGATGTGAGTCGGACATGCTAGTTACTGATGTGAGTCGGACATGCTAGATACTGATGTGAGTCGGACATGCTAGTTACTGATGTGAGTCGGACATGCTAGTTACTGATGTGAGTCGGACATGCTAGTTACTGATGTGAGTCGGACATGCTAGATACTGATGTGAGTCGGACATGCTAGATACTGATGTGAGTCGGACATGCTAGATACTGATGTGAGTCGGAAGATATATCATATGGATTTTGAAAACTGATTATTCTTATATTTTTATTTTAAATAAGAAACTTTTCTGCTACTGGAAAGCAATGACGGATTTATCAGAACTAAACACTAAAAGAGTGAAGTTATCTGTCTTATTCCTGATGAGATGAAGAGTTTAAAGAACTAGGGCATGTCCTTGATTAAATGGAGGGTTTCTTGAAATCACAACGATACATTCCCTTGAAAAGAAATGTTGTTGTAATAAAAGTAACTAAAAGTGCCATGTCTGGATTCACAACGGTGCTCTTTAAACATTTATCTGATCAACAATGGTAAAAATAAAGGCTTTTTTTAGCTTGGAAAGTGTAAAATTTTGATAAATTCATCCATTGTTTCTGTACCATAAATCTGCAAAAATATTGATATTCTTATATCTCGTTGATCAGACTAAAGGTTTACTGGTAACGTTGTGGAAATAGATAATCCACTACTTACGTCTAAAGTTACTTTATAGGCAAAGATATCTCGTTATTAATCCTTTAATTAGATTAATATCTCGTTTTTTAAGAAATCGTATGCAAAATTTTAAAGAGTTTTTTGCATATTACTTAACACTTTATGACAAATGTAAGTTTTAGATCTTTGGCTCAAAAAAAAAAATATGTGGTATTTTACATATGTTTGACACCAGCTGGTTTTTATCCACCCTTAATTAGCTCACCATGCTGTAGCCTACCCTATAAATAAATAAAATGCTTTGAATGCTTTTACATTTTTTTTTGAACTTTCTGATTTAAAAAAATGTTTCAATAATGCAAACCGAATCTTATCAACATTTTTTATTTTAAATGTTTTCTTCCCTGGATCTTAAATCGTTTTTTAATTTGATTTCGAGAGTTTTCTTTTTTCACATTTTTCTAATTTAATTTAAAATCTTATTTATATTCTTAGTTTCTTACAGTTTAATCTTATCCTTCTATCATTTTTAACATCTCATGAAATTAATTTCAATATTTTTCAGTTTGCAAATACTGGGTGCGATAGGTAGACGTCGGCGCAAACTTAAAATATGAAAAGATTTTTTCATGTTAATTTATTTTTGAAGATATTAAGAAGAAAAGAATGAACGAATTGGGTTATCTGTTTCATTGTTTTTCAACCGATTTATCTTTTGATCTTGATCTTGATTTTGACTTGATCTTGATCTTGATCTTGATCTTGATCATGATCTTGATCTTGATCTTGACCTGACCTTGACTTGATCTTGATCTTGTTCTTGTTCTTGTTCTTGTTCTTGATCTTGATCATGATCTTGATCATGATCTTGATCTTGATCTTGACCTTGACTTGATCTTTATCTTAATCTTGTTCTTGTTCTTGTTCTTGATCATGATCTTGATCTTGATCTTGATCTTGATCTTGATCTTGATCTTGATCTTGATCTTGATCATGATCTTGATCTTGACCTTGACTTAATCTTATTCTTGATCTTGTTCTTGATCTTGATCTTGATCTTGATCTTGATCTTGATCTTGATCTTGATCTTGATATTGATCTTGATCCTGATCTTGATCTTGATCTTGATCTAGGTGAGTTTGATCATGTTGAATACCAGGGGAAACAAGTGAAATGTAGATCAAGCTGCGAAGATCAGGTATGAAAGATGAATTTAAAGATTAAGAATCAGAGTAGCGTTGCCGAGAGGGGGCCGGGGNGGGGGGGGGGATGAGGAATATGAAAAAGATGTAGGAAGGGGAAAGATCTTGGTAAAAGAGGATGCGGGGGGGAAGGGAGTTTTTGAAAAGTTAAATGGTTGCCGAAGAGGAATTTGCAGCTTGACGATTTTTTTCTTGAGGTTACCATTATTTTACGTAAACTACAATAAAAAGAACACGTTTCAACTTTTGTATTACTAGTTGGCCAAAAAATCCATTAAAAGTCTCTTTAATGAGAAGAATTAGTTGTTAAGTAAATTTTTGTTTTGTTCATTGTTCAGGTGAATTCCTTGTTCGTGACCACCTCGAACTATCCCAACAGGAAAGTATAAAAATATCAAATCAACAAGATATCTACATATTTATCATAAATGTTGATACGGTAAGACTCATTGTAGAATAGAAAGACGACTGTTAGACTCAAGTTATGACTCTAAATAGTCCAATTAACATGAAACACTGCAATTGTGCAGTGTTCACAGACCTATTTTACTTAGTAAGTTTATTATCAAGGCATTGTCAAAACTATTGCTTTATAAGATTTTACAATTCATAAAAACTTTTTTCGAAAATTTTGTGAGATTGAACGTAAAAGTTGATTTGTTAAACTTCGTTGAAAATGTTTGGAATTTTTCTCAAACATTTTGAAATAATTAAATAAAGTTTTACGCCCTGGGACCCGGGAGCCAATATACTTCCTGAATAACCTGATACTCCGGCGGCAAATTGAAGTAAACCCGCCGCGGCGGGGAGTCAATTATTCAACTATAAAACCCCGGCCAGAATGATTATCGCAAATCATCTAACCGATCGGGCCCAAATTTTTGTGGGACCTCGCGAGACCCCAGGGAAGGTTTATAGATGATCAAATTTTCTAAAATTTGCCTCTAACAAAATTCGATTTTTGAAAATTTTGAAAATCCGCGAACTTTTGTTTTGTTTTTGTTTTACAATGTACATATACAAAGAGAACATGTTCACAATTTAAGATGGGCGCGAAGGGCCTTTTGAGCCTAGTAATACGAATTGCAAAAAAGTAAATTTCAGTTAGAATGAAATTTTGCATGTTTTCATTAATAACTTCTCTTTACAAGAATACAAAAGTTTTTAAACTCTATAAAAGCCTATATCCATTATCCAATCAAATAAATTTTTTTCTCACAAAGTTGAATCTATTTAAAATTGAAGGAGGTACAAGGTGACAAAGTCGCATTAGTAATTTGAGTTTAGAGATTTTAAACATTTCTGAAAATTATGGATCTACTTTTTTTGTGCGTGTTGCTTGTTACTTCAAACTAGTGAAATTTTATAGAGCAGTCTGGATCTGGATCTGAATCTGGATCAGAGCAGTCTGGATCTGGATCTGGATCTGGATCTGGATCTGAATCTGGCTCTGGATCTGGATCTGGATCTGGATCTGGATCTGGATCTGGATCTGAATCTGGATCTGGATCTGGATCTGGATCTGGATCTGGATCTGGATCTGGATCTGGATTTGGATCTGGATCAGGATCTGGATCTGGGTCGGGATCTGGATCTGGATTTGGATCTGGATCTGGATCTGGATCTGGATCTGGATCTGGATCTGGATCTGGATCTGGATCTGGATCTGGATCTGGATTTGGATCTGGATCTGGATCTGGATCTGGATTTGGATTTGGATCTGGATCTGGATCTGGATCTGGATCTGGATCTGGATTTGGATCTGGATCTGGATCTGGATCTGGATCTGGATCTGGATCTGGATCTGGATTTGAATCTGGATCTGGATCTGGATCTGGGTCTGGATCTGGATTTGGATCTGGATCTGGATCTGGATCTGGATCGGATCTGAATCTGGATCGGATCTGTATCTTGGTTTTGCCTACCAACTTTTTTGTATTTCTGATAATAATGATTTTAAAAAATTATATTCGTTATTTCATCATTTGTTGAGGAGTATTCGTCCAGATAGATTTTTACGTCTAAATTTTGCCATGAATCCCCTTAGGAGTGGAGATATTATTTTACAATGATTTATAATATTTTCCGCTCCGAAGGTAAACCATTGAAGTGTGGAAAATGATATTAGAATATCTCTCCTGGGGTATGATTGATGGGGTTTTATGAAAAAGCCGGAAGGAAAGTACATTTCTGAAATTATCTTAAAGAAACTTATTTGTTCTTCTTCTTAATAAAGTATTAATAGAAAATATTTTAGATGTAATGTTAGAAAATATTAATAACAAATTTAATTTGAAAAGCTTTGACAGGGTTACCCCTGCAGGATGAGACTTCAGACACGACCAAACGAAAGGAACTGAATCCTTGCCACAAACAAAAATTTTATAATTCTTATTTCTTTGCAACCCAATGTCGTAGACCTTAGATATTTAAAATGATGAATTCTGTTAGATCAAATAATCTCAGTTTGAAATATCAATGGTTTACACCATCAGACTTCATTGATTTAGGAATTAGAAAATTTGAGTTTATGGAAAAGACTCAATTTTTTTAATTACTTAATCAGTAAACCATTTAAACACTAAAAAAAGCTATCAGCTAGATGGTTTATAGGTTTAAAATGTACATGCCAAGATCTACGAAAAAGTATAAAGGAGTTATAGAAAGGTATAAATCAAAGTCCAAGGTGTTGCAACACTTCAAAGTCGACCCAGTCATGAAATGGATCTCTGTGAAATGAAATTACAGATTTTGATATTTTGTACGAATAGGAAAACTCTAGTTTACAGAGAAGAATTCTGTATTGTTACTCTACGTCTTATTGATAAATGTAACAGCTTCAAACGCAAGGAAAATAAACCAGAATCTTAATGTTTACATTTTTATATTTTTACATGTGCACAATTTACATAATTACTTTTAAAGGAAGTGTTTGAGAAAATAAAAGAAAGCTCATCCTAAACCATCTTTGATTTTAGAGAACACTCCCTTTATGTCTATGATGGATAAGTTGCCAAATTTAGAAAATCTGTAAAATTTTCGAGGGCGCAGATTGCAATGTGTACACTGCAAACACAAGGGAACCTTGACAAGTGCATTATTTTCTCCGCCGCAAACTATATATATTTTTCTTATTTTTAAACCTTAACTTAATTCTAATAATAAGCAATATCTTTTAAACATAATTGATGCATATGTAATAAAATAAAATAATAAAAAAATAAAAAATAAAATAATATGTAACAAAATAACACCAAAAATACAAGATTTCTTTTTTAACATTTCAAAATTTCAATGAACCTAAGTAAATTTTGTTAAAAAATCGTGTTGCATTACACATTAAGCTAATGTGTAAACAAAATTTGATACAAATCGGCCAAGGGTTTCCTGAGTTATGATGGGACAACGAATACAAACAAAAAGAGATTACTTTATATATAAAAAATATTCTGGTTTGCAGCCCCTGGATCGACAATATCCGACCCTGTGTATTCTACTGGAGGATCTCAGAGATCTAGAGTAAGTATGAATCACCAAGATTAAACCTGTCGGAGATGGAAACCTTTAAATAAACGTAATCAACTCAACTAATTCTTAATTTGTTCCACTCATTTAAAATTTACAAACTCTGCCTAGCTAATTACTCTTTGAAGAATACCAGTTTTGTTTTCCACTTTTTTGTAGTAAAAATCGGGAAAACTGTTAAAGAAACATAATTTTTGTTACATAAACTTAAAAATTCTTTAAAAAGTTAAGTTTAAATTTTATTTCTAAAGCACTTTATTATATAAGAAGAATAAAGAATTATGATATTTTTAATAACTATAATAATAATGGCATTTATTATTTGCCCTTTTCTATTTTTTTTAATAAAGTAAAATACCTGAACTTTGCCCATTCAAATTATGTTTTATTTTTTTTATTGTTTTTTTTTAATATCTTATTTTTTTTATAAATGGAAATGTATCTTTTGTTACAGTTTGTTTGGCGATGATTTCAGAGCTATGCTCTAAAAGAGGGGGGGGGGCACTCCCTACAAATCTCGTTTTATTTTTTTTAACTGATAACCTTTTGAGGTTTAATTGTAAACTCAAATTTAACTTATTAAACAGACGGAAAATAGTTTGATCAAATAAAAAATGAAAGCTAATTTACCATCTGTTGTTCATTTACCTTAAACCAGTTTCTGAGCAGTCTTAATATGTTACAGTAAAATGTACAAAAATTCTATCCCCCATATATAAATCTATTACATTATGTGTATTAACCCCGGTTGAGCAATTAACATGTTTCAAACTTGCAACACGATGCTCTGGAACCCGACCTAGTGGAAACGGAACCAAAGAAAATTCGAACTAATTACCAAGTAGTTTTTTTAATATTGATTAGTTTAAAATCCCCTGCGTTTTAATGTTTAATGCTACTCTTATTTATAATTAAGTCTAACCCGTATCCAACTCCTCCCACCAGACTTAAACGATTACAACTTTAGGTTGGGAAATACTTAGGTCAGAAACCCCTGGTCAGTTTCCTCCAGGTCGGATGAGTGGGTGATTTAGTAAATGTTACGATATAATAACAAAATAAGATTTCCCTTTTTATTCACAGCTTCCCTTTGTTGACATGTTTGAGTACACTACATTGTTCAGGATGTCTGTATAAAAACTTGTAATTTGCTTTTTCTCTTTTCTTTTATAGTTTAGATTTTCTTGTTTTTATTTTTGATTTTCTATTTTCTATTTTCTGTTTAGTATTTTCTGTTTTCTATTTTCTATTTTCTATTTAGTATTTTTGATTTTCTATTTAGTATTTTCTGTTTTCTATTTTCTATTTTCCATTGTCTATTTTCTATTTTCTATTTTCTATTTTTATATTCTATTTTTATTTTATATATTTTCTATCTTCTCTTTAGTATTTGTGAGAATAATGAGTGGAAAACACCGAAGGAGTTAAACTGTACCGTACACCATTGTCCACTAGTAGAGGCAGTACTTAACTACGCTAGGGATAATCTAGTCATGTTCAATATATTCATCAAGGTATAGTCATGTTCAATATACTCATCAAGGTATAGTCATGTTCAATATACTCATCAAGGTATAGTCATGTTCAATATACTCATCAAGTTATATTGTCACTTTCAATATATTCATTAAAGTAATAATGTTCCATATATTCATCAAGGTTAAGTCATGTTCATGATAACAAGAAAATAATAATTTTATGTGAGCATTATTTTAAAGGAATTCACAACGGTACTCTTTAAAATAAAAGAATTATCCTAGTTTTTATAACTTTCGAAAAGTGTTTCTTTATAAAAGTACCTTTTTTAAAGATTAAAAACGAGTATATCTTACTTATTGTTTATTTTGTGCCAAGATTTAAAGGACACCTCAGTGAATTTTTCAGTAACGTTTTTTATGATAACACTCCCTTTAAGAGTTATTTGTCCAGGACCCGTACGCTAAGAGGTTTATGAAGGATGAAAAAATAACTAAAACTGCATATATTGCGAACTCTGGAGGTCTACTGGGACTCTGTATGGGATTCTCTCTAGGAAATCAAAATTATTAGCTAGAAACACTCATAGCATTTGTTAGAAGAACTATTTTCTCATTTTTATTATCAAATTTAAAAGTTCTGAGTATGTTTTTATTAATTTTGTTGAAGTTTCACAGCGTAAAATGTTACACACATTTTCAATTTCAAAAGTTTATAAAGATTAAATTTTTTTTAATATTTCAGTTTCTAACTTATCAAAATTCACAAAAAAACTAGAAAAATTTAATTTTCTAATTCTTGATTTAGAGGTTAAAAACGAATAATTTCTTAGATATCTTGACCGTGAGTTGTACCGTAATAATTTGATTGTACAGTATCTGCTGCTGAAATCTTGTACCATTGTCTTTTTGGTCTAATATCTCCTCTTTGTACAAGAAAAAAACAAGATAGGTAAAAACACATAAAGGTTAAAAATCCTCTTTTTTGATGATTCGCACAATTCTCTTCAATAGTTTTAGAAGAACGCCAAAAAACGGTTGAAATTCAACATTTTCATTAAAATCATTTATGTAATACATAGTAAATGTATATCTACAAACAGATACATATATAAGTTATTTAAAGTACACTGATTATCTGGAATGATACACTTTCAATAAAAATTATCATTACATCTGAAAATGTGAATTTAAAAAAAAACTGACTGCAACGCTTAGCCCAACTTTATTTTATAAATCATTTTAATAATTGACAAACATGAATCAGTTCATGATTAAAAAGTTTTGTACTTTTAGGTTATCGTCTGTGCGACATGAATCTGAGGATCAGAACGGGAGAACGTATAGTCGGGAGAGGATAAGACGAGGTCCAACCTATCCTGAACCCTCCTACTATAAACACGACCTGGAGAAAGGAATTCCCAGAACAGAGGTGAAAAAATATACAGTAATAGCCAGAAAACTTTGGAATTGGAAGACGACACTAACGCAATATTTGAATGGTTTTTGATGTTGTTACAAAGAAAATAGTTTTACTAGTAACACATTAAATCACTTATTCAGTGGAATGGGCCAGTTTACACTTCACAATTGCTGTGTGTCATATTCATTTAACTATTTAAAGTTATAACCTGAGTCCAAAAGTCGTCTTTCTATCACAGAGATTTTTGGTTTTCACTGTATGTTCCTAACAAAACACATCAGTTTCCTTACTAATTTTAAATTTGTCGAATTCACTTTAACCGGTTGACCGTAGCTCCCTCAGTTTTAATTTTATGCCCAAATATTATAGAATTACTAAAGTATAATTGGTTGTCTATTAGAAGCTCAAAACTTTTTTATTCTTCCTGATAGTCCTTAGGTGGAAAAGCATATCAGATGAAAATCATGAAAGATTTTAATCTGACACGGAAGGAATTGAGTCTTTGCCACAAACTCATATTTTCTAATCCCCTTATCTTCTGCAACTATAATGTCACCTTAGATATTATGAATTCTGTTGGATCAAGTAATCTAAGCTTAAAACATCAACGGTTCACACTTCCAGGTTGCATAGATATAGGGATTATAGAAAATCATAACTTGTGGCAAAGACTCAATTACTTTGACGCAAAACTTAATTATTTTAATAAATGTTCTCTAGACGAGTATGAGCCATGAGCGGGGATATAATAGTTGTCTCCTGCACAACGGTTCTATCCATACAGACGTGGGACACAACAGCTCCCACAACTCATCCATGCCCCAGGGCTTTCAGAAACCTCAGTTCTCCGGGGGCAGAAACGGAACCTGGTCCGGATGTCCGGCTCATTCATGTAATTCTCATCCGGCTTCAAGACAGGTTTATCATCTTTGACATCTAAGCCAAATATTTCAATTTTTTATAGTTACAAGCCCGATTCACAGTGGTACCAATAGGCCTACGTATACGCAATGGAATATCATTGTTTACTTTCTTTCATTTTTTCAATTTTCTCTCCTGCACATATCCAAAAGAAATTTTTAAAGAAAACTTAAATTGAAATTATTATTTTTCCGCACGCAAACATTTATTTTTTAATCGTTGCATCTTTGCAACCTGATGTTGTAGACCATTGATATTTTAAACTATAAATCCTGCTACATCACATCAAATCTTAGCATTAAATGTCAAAGGTTTGATTTGAATAATCGGTTCCATTTTTCGTTTAATAATATGATGTTAAAGTTTGATAAAAAAGCAGGAGGAGACATTGTTTGATTTCAGCAAAGAACGAGTTATATAACTTAGATAAACTAAATTAAAAGAACTCTGATCGAAAGAGAAATGTATGTACAGTGTACAGTGAGTGTGGAGTTTACAGAGAGGGTACAGTGTACTGTGCAATGTACAGTGAATGTATAGTTTACAGAGAGGGTACAGTGAATGTACAATGTAAAGTGAGTAGGTAGTAATAGGAAATCTTTACAAATTCTCCTTGTCTATCATATCTTTTAATTATCCTTGTCTATCCTATCTTTTAATTATATTTGTCTATCCTATCTGCTAATTATCCTTGTCTATCCTATCTTCATATTATCCTTGTCTATCCTATCTTCTAAGTAGCCTTGTCTGTCTATCATATCTTCCAATTGTCCTTGTCTATCCTATCTTCTAATTATCCTTGTCTAATGTGTATCCTATCTTCTAATTATTCTTGTCGATCCTATCTCCTAACAAGCCTTGTTTATCCTATCTTTAAACTATCCTTGTCTATCCTATCTTCTAATTATCCTTGGTTGTCTATCATATCTTCCATTTTTCCATGTCTATCTTATCTTTTAATTATTCTTGTCTATCCTATCTTTTAAATTTCCTTGTCTGTCTTTAATATCTTACAATTGTCCATTTCATTCCCAAATTGAAAATTTAAGAAAAATGTTTTGATGTTTTTATTATTTTCAAAGTTTTGATTAAAAGTCCATAATAACTGAACTTTATTACAAAATACTCAAAAAGCCTTTTTTTAGATCTTTTATTCATTGTTTTGATTCCGTACTGGAAAAAAACTGAATCTTAATTTAAAATAAAATAATTATATAGTTCTTTGAGACAACTTTCTTAGAAAAACTGAGCCTGCATACGGAAGGTTGATGTATTTTAATACCCCCCCCCCCCCCTACCCTAGCACAAACCTTTGTTATTTATCCTTATTACAAGCCCGTCTCTGCTCGAGACAATAAATATGTTTGATTTGATTTGATTAGTAAATATAGTAATTGTATAACGTCTATATAATTATACATATATTGTATATAGGCCTCTAAGTACACATTGTCGATTTTCTGAAAATATAAAAATATTAATATAATATATCTATACCTGCATTATGTAAATTGTAAATTGTGTAATAAACAAAAGAATATTTAAACTAATCATTTGATGCGCACATATAGTGTAAAAATAAAAAATATAAATAAATATATTTCCGAACAATATCAAATTTTCTGGAAGTTGAAAAATTTACAGAAAACAGTTTATAAATAGATAAAATATATTTTAAAACAATTCTTAATTTTTTCAACCCATTGAGGTGATTTATTTACAGAGAACAGTTTGTGAATATATAAAATTAGCTGGACTGCCCGGCGTTGTCCGTGGAATTTTAGAAACATTTGAAGAATAAATTTCGTATTTGGCAAAAAATGTGATTTTTGAAAATAACAATTTCAATGTTTTGCTTGATGGATAGTTTATGCAAGGGCTGGATAGTTTAGACAAGGGATGGATAGCTTAGACAAGGGTCGGATAGTTTAGACAAGGGTTGGATAGCAATAGCAGGACAAGACTGGATAGTTTAGACAAGGGATGGATGGTTTAGACAATGGCTGGATATTTTAGACAAGGGTTGGATAGTAAGACAAGGGCTGGATAGTTTAAACAAGCGGACCCGAATGTTCAACCAATTTGGTTGATCTGAGCTGGGAACTTTTAAATGGGATATCCTTAATCCCTTTCGGTTAATTAATCTGGAGATTAATTACAAGAGGAGAGCAAGCATTATTTAATCTGGAGATAAAGAAAAAGAGGAGATCAAGCATTGGTTTCGATATTGTCGGTTTCCAGCTCTGTTTGTCCACCCAATATATATAAATGAGAGAAGAGCTTCATTACACAGAAGATATTTTAAATCGTAAAAACAATAATAATTTGTTCATTCATTGAGATAAATTATCTATTTTAAGACACGGTTATCCAAAAATATGAGACAATAATGACGACCTGGAAATGATCAGTAAGAACTAAGAAATTTTACCAGAACATGATGGTAAGAGCCTTTCTCATTAAAAATATTTAAGATCTCCGACATAAAGTTGCAAAGATATAGTGATTAGAAGATCAGAATTCGTGGCAAAGGGTAACCTTGAAAATGTTTTTAATCCTTCCGTAAAGTTTGAAAAGTCTATACATGACATAGACACTAGACTTTTACTCTAATACTACTTTTTTGCCATTTACAGTGAATTGCTAGTAGATAAATATATTACAATTTGCTCTATTGACCATATGTTGTGACTTGTGTAAACCTAAGAACTTGATTTAATTATAGTTCCGACCCCCCGAGGTCAGACACAAACATAGAAAATGATATTGTCTGTTTTCCTAAAAATTTAGCTATGTTGAAATTGTCAGCCATATCGGAGATTGTCTTATATAGAGTTATAATAAAATTGTCAGCCATATCGGAGATTTTCTTATATAGAGTTATGTTAAAATTGATAGCCATATCGGAGATTGTCTTATATAAAGCTATGTTAAAATTGATAGCCATATCGGAGATTGTCTTATATA